ATATACATATATATACATATATATATATATATACATATATATATGTGTGTGTGTGTGTATTTTTTAAATAACGGAATATTTTTCCCCTTTTTATATGTGTTTTATTATATTAAAAGTTGCTGCATATATTTGTAAGGGGTGGATCGATCCTAAAGCCTTAATTGGTTTATCTGACTCACACTAAACTGTCTTAATGATAAATAAACTTGTATTGATGTACATTTAATGAAACATGTATATGGAAATAGAAAACAATTTGAATTTGAATTTAAATTTGGAATAATCCTACTAAAAACTAACGAATGTGATTTTTCTATAGAACGGCTAATACACCTACCATGGATTTGATGCTGTTAATGATATACAGTGTACAGGTTTGGTGTGTTTATTTACATATATTTGGGTCCAAAGGATCCACCCATCGAAGCTTCGGAGTTTTAGCCATTTTTAACCTCTTGGTTGGTTAATTTTTCTTAAATGTTACTTAATTTTATAGATGCAATACAGAATGTCTTCATTGATTAGTGGAAGCAATACTTCGCAATCTTTGAAGAAGGTCTACAACCAGCAGATACGATATTTATAGTTTCTTGTTGAACGGTATCAAATTAATATTATCGATAATGTTACCGCTTGATTGTTATGATAAATTATAATTAAACCAGTTTACCGAGGCTAAGTCGAGTGTTTCCTTTTGCACAGGAAAAGTCGATGCTGAATGATGGATATCCTCATCATAACACCTCTTGCCACTACGTTCAAAATGCACGTAATACCCGTAGACAATCGGTCCAGGTTTAAACATTGTTTCATGTAATAAATATTTATCACAAAGAGGGGTTCAAAATGGTTGTCACTTCAATTGAAGATTTATAATCAGTAAACACGATGGACTCAAATTCACCTCTAAACAAATACCGTATGTAATTATGCGTGTTTTATACACTCTAATATTATCAAGAAAATCAGTTATTTAGAGAAAATTCTGAAACGGTTAAAATACGTGCACAAACAGGTAGATAATTAAGCATTTGGTTTCATTTAGTTTAGTTCTCAACGTCTGACGTATTGTCATTATTACACCCAAGTATAGGAATCTCACATCTATTTGCTGTCACATAAAATGTGGTTGTGTGAACAGATATTAAATATAGGTACGCACTGCACATGCGTATCAGCATGGGTGTGTAAATGAAGGTAAATATGACTGTCATTGCTCGAGTTTTTGTCACATAAAATGTGATAGAGTGTAGAGTAGGCGCGGAATGCTCGAGTTTTTATCACATAAAATGTGATAGAGTGTAGACAAAGATTAACCTAGGCGTGGAATGCGCCCGCGCAGCATCAGCATGAATGTGAGTGCAGGTATATGCGGCTATGCGCTCTATCACTGGTCGAATATTATCAAATTGTCATAAAGCGATACGTGCTGGCACAAAAGTTGGTAAAATGACTTGCAGGAGAAGAAAATATAATTGTTTAGGCCTAAGGAAAACAAAACAAAGCACAAGACATTTTTTTAGGTTCCTTTAATTACAAGTTGGCTACGTTCTCTGTGAGCAGATTTTCCCCCTTTAACACAACGTCTTCTTCGGACATTTTCATTTGCAAACAGTTGTGAAGGATTCTGCAATGCGTTCGTGTAAAGCCACTTAAATTGCGTGTCACGGAAAGACGCATTATGGTTATTAAACATCAGCCTGGGATAAATCTGATGCCAGGGAAGAGACGAGTTTCTTAAGCTAATAGGTCTAGCTATTAAACAGTAAAAGCATGCAGGAACCTCTAAAAGTGTAAGCAAACTTATAGCTTTGTTAATAACAATCGTGTACTGCTCGGCCTATGTTGATGGGCTACCGATAGGATTTGCCGCCTGTTGCCAAAGAGGATCAACGAAAAAAGCGATTTATATTCCACAGAAATATTAATGTTGGTGGTAATGGTAATGACAAAGACGATGACAACGATGGCAATGATGAGGACGGTGACGATCAAGACAAGATGACAGTGATGACGATGATAACGATGATAATGATGACGTTGCAGATGATGACACACTCCCTATCTTTACAGTGTAATACAAAAATGCAGGCCAAACATCACATTACAATTTCGAGGTTCACTTTTTGTAATTTTCATCGGCCTTTAAAAAATGATGTATATTTTTATTATGCTATAGCTTCTCTGTTCGCACCTTTGCGAGGCCCCGATCACTGGCGTGCACCGAAAATTGCTTTTTCTCCTGGCCCTTCATTTAAATTCAACAACGTGCGATGCTTTTCCGTGAGCCTCCTGGTGCAATAAAAGTAATTAGAAGACTTTAAACTGTTCTAAATGTTACCATATTTTATTTCATCTTAACAACTTCAATATAATTGTAGCTGTATCCGTTATGTTCATGGTTGAAAATATGACATAGTTTTTTTTCTCTCGCAGATTGTGTGTGTTTTTAGTGTTCCTTAATCTTTGTAAATAGTATCATCTGCTTAATGTACCATAGTCATAGTTATGCGTCAGTTTTTTTTTTCTTTTCATAATACATTAGGCATTCATAATCCAACTTAGGCCTAGAGCCTTTATGCTCATGCCGGATTTATCTGTAAAAAAATAATAAATATAAATGCAACACTATTATAACGACCTTCATGATGACGCTGTTTGACTAGTTGCGCGTGGTCTCCACGTAAGTACGTACACGCCCTTGTTGCTATGAATGACGTCACTCATCATACACCATCATTTTTTACAACCTCCATTGAATACCATGATATCTCCGGTACCGGTAGGCCTACTTTCTTGGAACATATTATTAAACTAGCCCTTAAAATTCGCTGAAAGGTTCTTCCTTGCCAAACTCGCTAATAATTATTTTAATCCGTGTTTAGTAATTTCACCGTCGAATAACTTGCTCCTAATCCGTTCTCATCTTAATTAATTTGAATCAACCAACCAATGATACATCAACATTGTCTTATTGAATAATTAATGTATATTGCATGAAGTGTTGTAGATAGCGGATCAGGATGAAGCCACATCCACGTAGTGTTAGGATACATAATAATAATAATAATACACATTTTTAAAGCGCCTATTAAAGCAAACAAAACTGGCTTGTCACCGGCGCTGGAGGATGTTAGAAAGAAGTTGAACTATTTGAAGAGGAATGATTTAAGAGTAGATTTGAATAATTGCGGATCAGAAATGATACGCAATTGAGGAGGCAGAGAGTTCCAGAGTTTAGGAGCAGAGAAAGAAAAAGAGCGTTCGCCGGTACGAATATGCTTGACTCGTGGAGTAACAAGTTTGAGGGATTGAGAAGAACGAGTAAAACGGGAAGAAACCTGTTTGTCTATAAGCGAACAGAGATAAAGTGGGGCACGACCATGGATAGATTTTTGGGTGAGAAGAATAATTTTAAAAATGATAATATAGCAATCATGGCTCTGATAACACTATCAAACGTTGTGACAAATTTGTGTGATGTGCCCATATGTGATGTCATATTATATCCAAATATGGACCGAGATAGCATTATACTTCCGTTAGTGTCTAAGATTTTTAGTTGAACGCTATCTTTAATACTTTAATATAAAAGTAATTCATTCAACTATTGTATTTTTCCGTGGCTCACTATAGACAATAATGGCTTGTTTTTTTTTTTTAAAGACACACTCGTTAAGTTGACATTGTTACGCTCCAAGGTAATTTTAACTGACCAGTATAGTGATGTACACGCGTCATCTAGACTAGAAAACGCTGAATGTCAGTGGGTGCGTTGACGCCGGTTAATAGAACTCGTGCTTGCTCTGTAGACCCCAGAAACAAGATGGTGCGAGTTTCTAGGCCTTGTAACAGCGTCGACCGACTAAATCACTAAAATAACTTACCAAGTGCCTTTAAGAATACTTGAAGTTATCGTTCATGAGTTCATTAAAATCCAGCGCGCGTTAATAAAATTTTACTTTCTTGACCCTTTTCTCTGAATGTCCTCTATTTCAGTGCAAGCTTACGAAGTCCTTGCTGAGAATAATAATAATAATAACCATTAAATATATAGGTCACGTGACACGACTCCAGTTTGTCCAAACTATACGTTAATGGAGGCAAGTAAACAACACTGAAACGAAATCTAAAATACATTTCGTGAATCGAATGCAGTATTTAACAGAGTATAGATTTTCTATAGTTTAAAATAATGGAGTTTTGACTACCTTACGTGTAGACACATCAAATCGCGTTGCCTGCGAAGATAATACGGCGCCGGATCAAAGTAATTTCTAACAAAATAATGTCTGGAAAACGGAGTTCTTAACAGCTTCTAGGCCTACGTTAGTTAAAATCAATGTTTTTCGTAGGGAATCACTGTATGCCTTTTAGTATTTTTGTTTATTTGAATCATCTACAGTAGAGAGTGAACCTATCCAAGGTCATTGATATTCAGATGGCACCCGCGATAGTATAATACTGTATATAATAAAATACTCCCTGATTCGACCGACCTATCATGTCAGCTTTACCGAAAGCTGTCGGTGATAGCGTGTAGCGATTTTATGGAAACCAGGCTTTAGGATCGGTCTTTGAGCGATTGCTCTAGAGGTACCCCGTGCTCTGGGCAAGTTAAATATCGGGTGAGTGATTTGTAGGATTTGGCCTTCTACTAGCCCGAAAACAAGTGAAACTAGACTAATGGATTGTTGTTAATTTGATCGGAAGGTACTGTAATTGTTATGTAAAAATCTGCATCGTAGGGCATTGGGTAGGCCGAAGACTTGCTCTGAATACGGTAATTCAGGTTGAATTAAATGTGCTTAGTTGGTGGGAAAGCTCTAATTGTTCAGATTACTTTTTTTGAGGGGTGGGGGGTTAAAATCGGAATCGGGCACTTAGTGAGAAACTGGTTTGCATTGCGTGTGTGTGCCCGATTTGTTATATATCGACAGAGCCCATAATATTATACAATATACATGCCAATATATGTTGCATAATGCTTTAATGCTAAGGTAAGGCAACATTGTTAGATTGGAACATGAGCCCAATTTAGAAGACAATTTTATGAAAGTAAGCAAATGAAGTTAACAGTAATTGGAAAAAAAATAATTAGGCTAAAAACCATTCGTGCTGCTATGTTCAATGTTTAATTATGCACCGAATTATGTTTCGTTGTATTTTGTAATATCAGGCCTAATTTTTTACGTGCAGTCCATAATACCGACAAGCCCGAAGCAAGATAAGACGTTTTAAATTGGTATAACCAGTTGATATTTTAATATTTTCCTTGCTAAAAATAGTAATTACTCAATTTTAAATTAGCACTAAATGAAATGGAAGGTTTTGTAATTAAGGATTACCAATCGCAAAAAAAACAACCCAAAACAAAACAAAAACTCAACAAAGGCCTACCAAATAATGCGCAGTATGACAGGTAACTTTTAATTATGATTTTTTTTTGTCACATTCGAAATTTCACTTTATACAAAAAAAGGTGTAACGGATAGCTAACAGTGCGGGTAAATATTTACTATTCTGCTGGCTGGTCTCGTTATACGTTTATTCAATCAATTATCAATTTTACCACATCTTTCATTTTTATCACAAACCGGTAAGATACAAGTAAAAAAGGAAATAGAAATAGAAAAGGTAAAACCACGGCAAGCAAAGCTTTCAACTGTGGATCCCTCGAAACTCCGAAAAACCAAGATCCATTTAGATATAATTTGGTATTTTTTTTCCTGCATCCATCCATTAGAAGCATTGCCGCACCTTGATCATTATGCGGTGCTCCAAAGGCAAAGAGTGCTTTAAACGTTAATGTGCTGCACAGCGTGATGCTAAAATTTGATGCTACTTTAGCCTACAAATTTAGGCTAAACCTCCTATGAAGGCTTCGAGAATGGGGCCTGTAACCGAGGATTCCCTTTAATATGCATATTGTATAGGCCTATTACTGGAAAATTGATGACCAATAAATTGTAAATGTACAGTTAACTTGTGAAATATACATAATTAGAAACTCGTCAACATAAATCATTCTTCATATAGTAAGCTTAAAAGTTAAAGTTCTGGGCAACAGAAATTTTCTATAAATATTTTGTGAACTTGAGTTTTGTTGGCACATTACATTGCATTATATATATTAATAATTTTATTCACACCAGCGAAGATCAATACACGGAATATATTCTTATTATGAATTTTCTTTAAAAAGGTAGAAATATATTAATAATTTTATGTAATTAAATGCAAATTCATTTTCTTTAAAAAGGTAGAAATATATTAATAATTTTATGTAATTAAATGCAAATTCATACGTAAATTACAAACTATGAGGTAAATCGGTTAATATTACTAAATGAAAAAATATTAACTGAAGTGTTTGTCGTTTCTGCGTTTCTTATCACTTAGGTCATTCATAATAATGAATGGTAGGCCACATTATAATCCATAGGTACCATTCACTTTAACAAATGTCGGATAATCAATCTATCAATCAATCAATCATTTTATTTTATTGATCGTGGAATGATTAGGAAGATCAGACCAGTAAGTGACATTAACAGCCAATAGTTAAATGATATAGGAGTTTAGAGTATTATTTTGGTACCGGTACTGTAGAGCTTGTTTTTCACTAGGCAAATTTATTAGCGTGAATCAACTCTTCGGTGCGCTTTCTGAGCTCTGATCTGATTGGTATGCGCATCTTTTCGCTTCTCAAAAACCCGATAGAAATGTGAATGCGTATGCGTATAAACCGACGCTATCGATTAGCGCGAATAAATTCGCCTAGTGGAAAACCGACTTAAAACAACAACGACAGAGATTTTGAACAATGAGTAGTGATGCTTTCTTCACTAGTTATTATGTAAACAATGTAATAATCATTGTGTATAAAACGTATGTGTATATCTATAATTCATATATTAAACTCAGTATAATAAACCCTACGAGTACATATAGGCCTATATATATACTGTCTCTTATCCACATCTAGATGTGTATAAGAGACAGCCAGTTTACTGTATAACACCTGTCTCTTATACACATCTTGGAGTACCGTATAGTATGGTTAAATTTCGTAAATTACATTTCCTTGTTGAAATTAGTCATTTTCAAAAAAATTACCAATTATATATGAATCCATTTAACTTGATATTTGACGAGCTAATACCTATTTCTTATTAAGTATTATCATTTTTTATGATAATAGCAATAATGAAATCTCTAGTCAAGAACCTCGCAGATTCCATTAAAATTGTCTTGTTCTTGAAATGTGTTTCAAAACGACATAAATTGTGATTAGTTTTCGAGAAAATTGCTTACAACAGTGATTAATATTCTGGTAAAATGTATTAAAAATGAATGCGACAAGCGAACAGCATGCTCGCAGGTGAGGTGTGAAATGACTTGGTTTAATCACGGCTAAATAACCTAAAAGGTTATGGAGTTAATTCACACCAGCGAAGATCAATACACGGAATATATTCTTATTATGAATTTTCTTTAAAAAGGTAGAAATATAATGTATTCGTACGTGAAAATGAAGTGTTTGACACGCGCGTGGAGATTAACTATAAGATATCACGCGAGCTGACGTGAAATTGCATTTCGAGTTTGCATTCATGTTTTTGTAAACATGAACATCCCTCTCTCTAAACACTGATTGGTTGTAGCGAGTATCTAATACTGGTGCCATTATACCGTACGCATGCGCTTTGATAGTAGGCCTTTATTTATTTATTTTATGTATTTATTATAAATTCGGCATGAATACAAACACACAAACATGAAGTAGAGAAAGACAGGTTATCAGCATGCCCAGAGAAAATAATGGGCTAAAGCCCGACGCCAGGGTGAATTCTCTCTAAACCGCTAACCTGTAAAAGAACAATGAAATACAGGTATTAATAAAGATTTTTTTTTTACATTTATACAAGCCTTTATACAATCAGTGGCGTGTCTAGGCGTCTTGATAGGGGGTGGGTCGGCGAAGGTGAACCATGACGGGCTCGATGATTAGGTGAGGAAGCATTGCTCACAAAATAATGTTATATGAGGTGATTTTTAACTACTTGAGCGTATTTTTTTTTGCCTCGAAAATTTTCAATGGGTGGGTGGGGCACTCGATAGCAAGAAACTTCCACCCTCTAGCGCACTCCTAGATCCGCCGCTGTATACACCTGGTTTTGGTGTGCCGCTTGTTAAATTTACGTGAATGGATAATCGTGCGTGGTACCGTATTTCTCGTGGGATAATGATTACCGTATCTATAGTAGAATGCAGGGAAATAGTAATAAATACCATGTAATATATCGTATAGTATTTGTTGCAGTGTGTACATTGATAGGGAGATGATGAAATAGCTGTTGTGTGTCGTATATGCCTGTATGATTTATATCTCAAGATTACTTCTGTATTTGATTACAATTCTTTTGTTTGTTCAGAATCATGACCTTCATTGCGTACACAATTTTGAGTATGCATTAAAATATATATATACACCGTCTATAGGTACTCCAATATCACTTGCTCCAATCCATATACATACATAATAATTTTATTAAGATTTAATAATAGGCCATTGCAAAGTTTTTTGGCTGAGGTTTCCAAATAGTATTATGAACATGCTTGTTATCATACAGTTGATAGGGCAGAGACAGTATTATGTTGGCTACGTAGTTCTTTAACCAGTACCGGTAGTAATAGTAGATTTACATGCTTTATAAAATCATTATTGTCTTTATGTTGTATTGGTAAAATAGTATAGTCGCAGGTAGGCTAAAAATCATGTCTTTGTTATGTCATTTCCATGTATGTACATAGGGCCTAAGCCCTGAAGATTTCCACCTACGTACCTTATTTTCCTTTGTGCATGGCGTATCTAAAAATCTTAAAATGGGAGTGTCTGATGGGGGCACAAAGGTTAAGCGTGGCGGGGGTGATTTTTAACTACTTGAGCATTAATTTTTTGCCGCGAATGGTGGGCAGCGACTGGGGGTGAGGGTATTTTTGTGGGGAGGGGGAAGGGCGGGGTATTCGCACCCATAGATACTCAACTGCTTTTGTGATGTAATTTCCATGTACGGTACAAATAAGCCCCGAAGAGTTCCAGTTGTCTTCACCAACAACTTATACATACATTAGTTATAAAAAATACATCAAAATCAGCAGGTCTATAAACCCCATGCGTTACATGGTTTCGTCTGTTATTCCATAAATGCGTTAATAGTCCTTGATAAATGTGTTTTATAAAACAGCATTTAAGCCTGAAACTATATAGCATAATCACATTTCATATTTTAACTTATACTTAATAAATATCAGAAAAAAAAGCATTAAAAATACGCGTGGCCCATTAATAACTTAATAGGTATCCGTATATAATTACCAAGAGATCCAGTGAGATTTACAATAACAACAGAGATATGAAAGTAAATCGTTTTCTTCGAATGTTTGCTGTGCGAATAGAGTTTGAATTGTTAATGTGTTTGGCATATGATGTCATCCTTCCGATAAAAATTGTCATACCGTTTATTAGTTATCATTATTGATTGTGGACATTATAATTTATTATAATCCTATTCGTTGTCATTACGTAGTAATTGATAATTTTTAATTTTTCTGATTTCAAATGTGGTTATCACACCATTATTAATTATCGCTATTATTATTATTACTATTATTAAATAATTATATTACTATTATAATTACTACATTACTATCATTATTATTACTATATTACCTACTAATACTATTTATATGACTTACTATTATGATTATTAATATTATCATATCACTTTTATTAATTATCGCTATCATTACTTTTACTTTATTAATATTATTATAATTACTATATTACTATAATTACTATATTACCTACTATTACAATTTTATTATTTACTATTACTATTTCAGGGACTAACTCAATTTCCTACTTGAAAACAAGTCTTTTCAACCGATGTAAATTCATGATTTTTGAACGCGATTTTCTATACATCCACGAACTTCGGATTCTAAACTAAATTACGGGGGAACATATATTGATGTATTTCAATGTAATTTTAATAAAACAAAAATGTTTGAAAGCAAATGGTAGGCCTATCACAAAATCAGAAAAATGAATCTACTGTATATGAAATGGCAGATCAAGTAAATTGGAGCACGTATTCAAAATGAGAGTGGTTTGGGCCGCCAGCTAACTTCCCAGCAAAGATCATGCCTGAAGAAATTAAAAGAAAACTTTTTATTTGTAGATAGGCAAACTTGCTTAGTGTGAACCAAAAAAAAAAACATACGCAGACATTAGAGGAAGCAAGAAAACAGCGTTGTGCGGAAACTATGGTTTGGCCTTTCCTTCCCTCATTGCTTTCAACTTCCTTCGACACAGGTGAACGAAACTTGACAGGTGAGCAAACAATATTCAATCGCGCTGCACAGCATAAAAACACATAATAAATGAGTAATTTAAATTATGATGTTATCTGTGGTAAAAATACTGATAATGTACAAATAGGCTAGACGCACAATATGAATTTAATATAGGAGACTGTTTATTTAGGCTATATGCCTCTAATTCTTCAAAATATCAACATCTTTATATGAAATTCACTACATGTAGAAATGTTCTTCCACGATAAAAACATAGGCATCATTGAGTAGATCTACTCTACCCACGTGTAGATTTCATAATTTTATAATATGTATGCAGTTTATGTAGGCCTATATATATTATTCATATATATTCCCGAATGTTCCATCGGAGTTTTGGCTTTTTTATGCTATTTAAATTTTCTTACATTTTTTCAGCATATTATTTGTTTTCGTTTGTTAGTTAAGTTTTGCTAGTTAATATACTTTTCACTTTTTTCCCTTGTGAAATTTGTAGGGCCGTACGCCTGACTGTGAGTGCCACTGATACAAAGGTTTAGTATCACTAAATAAATATAAATAAAATAGGAAAAATCCCTTTTAAACGTGTAGGGCCTATATTACATGCTGACCCATAAGTTCATAATACAATGCCATATGGGCTACGCGCGTAGAATTTTGTATAAAAGCTGGTACCACACGACGTCGTGTTCATTCGCGCTACACAATATGACTTCAAAATATAAATAAAAATTAGATAGCTTTGTAAAGTTTATTTATGCCTAGAGAAATATTAAATATTCAGTGAGTAATCTGGTTAGTTTTGTAGAACAAGAGTCCTCAAGGTTTTGCAAGCATTTTCGACGAAGTGCGCTTTTAATTGAAATTTCACTGTCAATTATCGCAAAGTGCGCCTGCCCGCGGATGACACTATCTTCACTTGAGGGTAGTGCCCCGAAGGCGATTTGCACATCGTTGTTAGAAGTTCAATGTCAGATTGGTCCATCATGCTATCTCCGGATGCAATGACAATGCTCGACACATTGATCGAAATATCAGAGCAGATCTCGAACTCAGCTTCCCTGCAGCAATGCTCAATATGCAAATTGAAGTTTCTCATTGTTTTTCATTACTAATTTTCACGAATACATAATAATGTTGTTTATTTTATAAATATTAAACAAAAAATAAAACAATAAATAATAACGCTATAATAATATTAATATAATAAATAATAATCATAATAAAAATTATGATAATGATGATAATGAGATGATGATTGTGATGATGATGTTGATGAGGAGGATAGTGGTGATGATAATATATTTATTACTATAGCGATCGGGAGCGTCTTGGGGGAAAATTAGTTGTTGAAAGATTGATTGTATGATGTAGGTCTATATAAACATGGTAACGTAGTTATTATTATAATTATAATTATGATTTCCATATTTTGGTGTAGTAATTTGTTTTTCAACATTGAGTCAAAGACAGGTTTTCATCACTCTGTTATCTACTTAGGCCTATTTTGAATGTTGTATATATTCATAATACAAGTCACCCCCCCCCCCTCCAATTACGGACCACATTTCGGCCTTTAGCAGTGTATGAATGCTTACATGTTTTCACGATATCAATACCATGACGTACCATTTTTCTCAATTAAGGACACACCTTTCCCTGTTTGATCGCTTTTCCTCCTCTTCCACCAACACAGGAATAACCTATTTGAAAGCGCATCCGTTTTGCATATGATTTTTGTCTAAAGGAAATTGTAATACTCAAGGAATCATATTTTTCGAAGTTATGCTGTAGTGACGTTATGAACGTGTCTGCGTGCACACATAATTAGTACGCACCCACGTCACACCTGTAAGACACGTCCTACCTGCACATTAAATGTAAGAATTGGAAAATGTAGAAGTGATACTGATTAAAGCGATTCTGATGACATAATTGATTTCGAGTCTAACATTGAACGCGCACAATGGACACATGGGCGTCTCACTCGACAGGTTTCATACCTAAATCCCTATTACTGCTCTTCATTATGATACACTTGAAAAGATAAGTAATATCATTTAGATCATCCATCATGGATTCACGGGAACATTTGAACAAGAAAACATGTTGCAGTTTTTACTTTCAAATCATGTTAGAGACGTGTGTATTATAAAGTAAACAAGTTCAGAACGGTTGAACTGGCCTCCATTGTGTATCGGGAATACATAACATTGACGCATTTCAGTGGCCGCTCCACGAATTTAAAAAAGAGGGGGCCCGGGGAAAGACTTTGACAGATGGAGGGTCAATAGCACAACAGGCCCACTACCATGGCTGCAAATGAGGTAAGAAAATTTACGATTATGTCACCTCTAGATGGCCGGAAATGGCACTCCCAAAATTAAAGTGTGAATGTAATTTTCATTTTTTTCTCAATTTTTTTACCATTTCTAAAACTTTGGGGGGGGGGGGGGGGGGGGGGGGTGAGGACGGGCCGGCTTTGCACCCTTGGAATCGGCCATTGCCGTTTATTTGTTCGTTTGTACATTCGTTCGTTCGTCCATCCATTTATTCAGTCGGTAATTCTTCTCCGTCCGTTTGTCCGTTCGTTAAATATAATCTTAATTCATTTATTAATTTCTTCGTTTATTCATTTAATCGTTTGTTAATTTATCTATCCATTCGTACGTTCATTTAATCATTCGGTCATTTATTGATTCGTTCTTTCATTATTTCAATCGTTTGTTCATTAATTATTTGTTTGTCGATTCATTTGTTCATTTATTCACTCATTCATTCGTTGGTTTGTTCGTCCTTTCATTTGTTCTTTAATTCATTTGTCCATTCGTTCGTTCATTCGTTCATTTAAACATTAATTTATCCATTTACTCAATCACTCATTCAGTTATTTATTAAATCTATTGCATCATTCACTTACTTATTTATTCGTGGCATTATGTGCAATTGATTGATTGAGGCAATACGTAGTGATTCAATCCAAGATTATACCTTGCATTTCTCCTTGTAGCATTGTGTTGGATTTGTTGGAATTTTATTGTTAATGACGTATTAATTCATCTTCTATTCCATCTTAACAATAATATTAGATTCTTCGATATTTTTATAGTGACATTGAAGCGGATTCTCTGTCCTTTTGCGGATATTGTTTAAGATGATAATAATTTGTTAGATACTTCACCTATATCTATTAAATGCTTTGAACTCGCCGACAAAGCCTGCACACATCGAACCTATTTAGTATCTCTAATAAATCCGTGATTATATAAAGCCCATTAGTTGTATTTGATGTCACTGATCCGATAATGCTATTCATATTATTTTATTAATTTCCAGACAACGAAAACAGAGAGAATAAGAGAACTGAATCACAACCGAATGTTCTTTTTCAATATAAACATCATCAGACAAACTGAACTCATTTAAACTTTTGATTACCATATCGGGGCCATAGTCTCATTGTTATTTTTCTTTCCAAAGGTTTATTGAAAAAAACACCGAGGTTTCCTTGTCTAACTATTAAATACTAGTTTGCTTTACAATCGTTTGGTATAATCCTATTTCATATATGAGCTTACTTAGCTAATTAGTTTAACTGCAGATTTATTGTTTAATTTTTTCATCTTGTTTTCGAATTAGGCCTACTGTTTGTCAACGTCAGTGTTGTTCATTAGACATGTTATTCTGCAATTTCTTCTTGTTATTTCATTCGATTATTTACCTCATTGCTTTTCTTCTCTGTTTTTGCTCTACCTTTTCGATTAATTTTCCTTACTTAATTAACTATTTTCACATTTTCTTGGTTTTGTGTGTGTGTTTTTTTTTTGGCTTTAATATTTTTTCCGTTTTTTCCAGGTTCGACACATCAATTCAGAGCCAGATTTTACGCTTTCGCCTGTTTTTGACAAACATGAAATAAGTTTTTTTTTTTGTGTTTTTCTTAGTATTTTCTTTGCTCTATTGTGTTTTGGGGTTTATCTGGTTGTTTTTTTTTTTGCCTTTTTTCTGGTTTTCATTCACTTAAAAAAAAAATACAATTAAGTTAATTGTAATTTGGTCGTTCATCATATTATAATATTAGGCTTAAATAAAATTTAAAAAAAACAAAAAAACAGTTATCTCATCATTATTTTTAAAATGTTAAAAAAGTACAGTAAAATTGTTGACTTACTGTACGGTATAAATCCTGTAAATTGTTATTTTGTGCTGTAATTTAGTTCATTCGTAATATGGCTTCCACCAGCAAAAAGTCGAAATAAAATATTTGCCGTACTTTTCTTCGAGATAAGGTATGTTTGTGAATATATCTTGATATTTTAGTGTATGTAAGAGTAGCTGAACCCAATAAAATAATACAGTTGTTTGTTTTTCTTTTATTGCCTACCATCTCCTATCTGCAATTTACATTTTTAGTATAAAGTTATAAAAACCAAAGACAATAAGATGTGACTATGATTCACCAAAGCACAATTAGAGGTCGTTGGAATTTATTTAAATTATACATTTAGGCATCGTGTAGTTTAGATTGATGAAATCCTAGTAAAATGGAAATGCTACTAGAAAGTGGATTATTATCCTACTAAAACCCTGTCCGGACTTTTATTTGATAAAAACATGTGACATACCTAAATATGGTCATGATGACATCACAATATATAGGAACATCACGACTATATATGGGAACATCATGAATATTATAGAAATTTACCGAAGAACATGTCAGTGTGTACAGGCTTAAAGCTGATTGGAAGTAGGTGGAACTCCTATAGACTAAAATATCCCTTGATGAAAATCTCGTATAAAAAATTCTATATCTTGTATCCAATTCCTTAATGATTTATTCATGTTTGTCTAACCGTAAGAAAGTTGAAGGTACAAAGCCCATTTACCAAAGCTGGGTGAGGTTGGCAGGACATACGAGTTCAGACATTCAATACTATTCACTTATAGATTATAATTTGTTTACCTTTGTGAAAAATAATAACTACAATCATGATTTTTTTTTCAGATTCAGTGAAATGTTGAAGTTAGCATCTTTGAACGTGTGAATTCTCACATCAATCTGTAAGGAAATGTTTTTCACAATCGTTCGGAATTCACAAACACCTAAAAATAAATTCTCTCTTTTATTGAAAATAAATGTTGATGAATAAACTGATTTGAAATGTGGAATTGAGTATTCTCTGAGAGTTGGTCTGGAACTTTGATATCGATTAACGCCTCCGCTAAGAAATATAAGAATTTGGCCTTCCATGAGGAAGTGTCATGGTATTAATTAACTATTTGAAAATGTAGTAGGCCTATAGAGATTAATCCCTCCCCTGCTAATGTGTCAGATATACATTAATTCCTCCGTTATGGAAGCTTAGTATAAATTTACCTTTCCATCAGAAAGTGATAATGAGGAGATGGATAATGATGACGAGGAGTGGTGGGTGGATGTTGGTGATGTGGGGCCAATGAGGATTAAAATTATGATGATGATGATGATGATGATGATGATGATGTTGATGATGATGATGATGATGATGATGATGATGATGATGATGATGATGATGATGGTTACCGTACATTAATAGGCTTATATTCAAGACATAAACATTATTAATTTTCTTTGACAATTTCTTGTGTTTTCTAAATATGGTCTAACGACAAAATCCTTTAAGAATATATAGTAGAGACTTGTGCAGTTACTAAATCAATAATGTGTATTTTTTTAGTGAGGCTAAGATTAAGCCAATTGAGGTGTTGTTTTTGCCGTCTTCTTCAAAAACAGCTGCCGTGAAGTCTTTTTTTTTTTTTTTACGACAGCTATGATGTTTAAAGTGACAGTCTACGTCATTGTCGCGCATACAGTCTTGCGTGTGCGTTCGTATATTGAAGATTTAAACGAAGGATAAGCGCTGCATGCGTTGAACCATTCACGAGATAAAGTTCCACGGTGCAATAAATTTTAGTAGGAAAAGACCATATTATGGAATTTAGGCTTCTAACACATGTGACAACCACTTTAATCGTTCTGCTGTTGTTTGTAACTTCAGTGACTCACTTAGGCGTCAACATTCCGTTATTGTATTAATAATTTTTATGATAAATGATAAAGGATGCACCAAGGTTGGTAATTGTACACCAAAGTGTCGTCTGCCTACTTGTGTGACATTTGCCCGCCATTTAACATTACCAAATAGACAAATTGGTCATGTTTCAAATCGTGAAGATTAAACGCATTTATATTTAGAATTTAAGGATTTTTTAAAAGAATATTTTTTAAATTTAAATACAAACAATCAATAACAATCAATAACGACAACAATATATATACTCCTGAACATGACTGAAAAAAAAACACAAATGTAGGACATTCGAAGAGTTAGTTGTCCGACGATTCATACGCCTTACAAGAAAGATGATGCTGATGATGAAGGCATGCTGTCATCAATCCCCTGGATTGGGCTTAAGAGCAGGCAGAGTAGCATCTAGTTGAGCTCCAAATGTCTTGTCAAAACTCTCAAATACGAGCTTTTTCTAAGTAGGCCCACTCACGTGGCGGGCAACGGATGCTGAGATGCACCGGCTTAAATGAAGTCTCATCTGTTTATGTCATGGTTGCTATACAGTCAATTTTGAATACCTTGTAGCCAGTAACTGTTTATCATGTTTATTTTTGTTATTAGGCCTATATATAGTTATGTATATGTATATGTTCTCACTTTATACTATCTGGCTTTTTCAACCCTCACTCACTCGCCACTGAGGAAGGACTAGTGTTGTCCGAAAGCTCTGGTTCTATTTCTGGCTGTTTACTTACGTTTACTTTTTAGCTGTTGCTTATCATTTTTGTATCTCTACTGAGATCCAGCCATTGTTTCCCACAGCATTGTTGTTTTCCAGTATTTTGCCTTTTAATCTATATATATATATATATATGTATATTATTTATACGGCTAGAAATTAATACTGTCGTATATTATATTTAAGAAAGTTAGCCGTTAACACTGCTGCATAAATATAATATAAATCATCAAAGGTGCATATACAGTGTTTAATTAGTGCCAGATTTATCTGGCCGAACGCCATCTAGAGGCGGTCCATTGTGTAATACAATGTTCCCGACGGTTACTTGGACTTGTTCAACCATGAAGCCTTTGTGGTCTAGTGGTTATGACGCTCGCCTTGTCAGCGAGAAGTCGCAGGTTCGAATCCCGTCGGAGGCATTTTATTACACAATGACTTTTTATAGGACTTTTTTCGTTATAAAGCTACAGGGTAGCCTACGATGTTCCATCATGTCCCTATTAAACACTGTATATATAAATGAAAAATTAGTATGTGGCTGCATTGGCGAATATTTAATCATAGTAATACACATTAAGCTAAAGGGTACAGTTACCGTACTTTAATGGTATTAAACATGGTATCGCCCTTCATCAGGATTCAGACACCAGACACTCGCAGGTTCCTCTTCTTCTAAACGTTGAATATTTTTATATAAACCATTCAGGGGCTTATCTCATTAAAGAGCCCCTGTAGAGATGCAAGGGGCGAATCCATATTAAACCTCTAGCACCTTCATTAATTTGTTGGTATCTTTTACAAAAAAAAAAAGGGGGACGTACGCCCCTTACGCCTCCCTCCAAATCAGCCACTGACAATAAGAACGTTACTGTACCAGTTCATCACATTATACGGTACCATAAATTGTATACTGTAAACTAAATCGTTTGCCTTACATAACACACATAGCCTATATAAAACTATTTGTATCGTATGATATATATATAATATATATATATATATATGTATATATATACAATATATATAGCCTACGTATACAATATATATGAGGGACCTTATCTTTAGTCTTTAGGCTGTGTTGAAACACACTGAAGGAGAGGAATGTGCGACTTTTAAAAAAGTTTCTCAAAATCGAGACTCAAATTCGTGTGACACGAAATTTTAGAAAATCGTGTGACTGTGCTATTGTTTTCTGATAAAATATAATCCGATTATCAACTTATTTCTCGGTTCTCGGCTTATTTGCTTTTTGGCTGAGAATTATTTTGTCCCGGTCCGTTACTTTTACTGTCGAAGTAGTGTTTAAACGGTATATCAATTACATTCTTGTTGAAATAAATATTTGCCGCAGAATAAAAGGACTTAATTCAACTCTATTGAGCCTTAAAAGACGTTATTGTTGTAAAAAAAAAAGGCACAATTAAGCTTTTGTTGTTGACGTTTGGAGTTTTACTGTTTAGAGCGTAATGGGTTATTTCATTCTCGTTTCGTATGCCTTGAGGAAGTTTTCCGTCGTTAAGAAGAACAATACATTGTGCTCATAAGTTTCGGTGTGAAAATTGATAGTTAATGGTTGTTAATTAGAAAACTGTATTTGTTATTTCTGTTACAGTGCATTTCATTTACAGTGTCAATGAATATATACAATTGAAATAGTTCTCTGTGTTACAGTTTGACTCCTTAAAGAATTCCTTGTATGGATCTATTTTGTGTGGGACCTGTATGCGTGGCAACGCATTCTCATGTTTCTACATCCTTTTTGTAATTTCATACCGTACATAGGCATACATAAGTAATATATATACATGTCTTCATATATATATATATATTATATAATTTTATTCATTTACAAATACAGCCTCACGTGTGCTCATAGACCTGTCAGATTTAGATGATGAGTACGCATTTACTATTTATGCCAATTGCAAATATATGCGCATGCGTGCGCGTTGCACTGATGCAAAATTGTGACCTAAATAAGATCTCTAGCTATGATAAGTGACATAATGTGACCAAAAGCAATGTTCATCTAAATAAAAATATACGGTACATTTTAATCTTAATAAGAAGATCCGTGACCCTTCGTTAAACCAATTACCTACAGATCAAATGCCTATAGGCCAGGGTGCCTCACCATGTTCTAAACTCACGTATGAATTTATATTTTTTTCATGTCGAATTTGACCAATCCTCCGGCATTAATAAATCAAAAATGTATCTCCTTAAAAGCTCTGCTCAGACTGAAAGCTTTGAAATCCAGTTTGAATTACTTTTGGCATTGAACCGATTCGTAAAGGTCGACGGGTTGTGTTTCTTATATTACTCGCACTGTTTATTTATGAGACACAAAGTGCTTGATTAAAAATATACGATAACACAAAATGACACAAATAACCAATTTACGCGCATAATGACTTTTTATCTTTCTCTCCAGCCTCGATTTGAAGTAATTTTGCTAGAATATAGGTTGCAGAGCAATGTGATATAGTATTTGCTTCGATTATGACGTAATTTAACACGCTGAATGGTATATGCATATCATGTAACATCATATGATATTTTGCCAAAATTATCAAATATATTTGATGGAGATAATGAACTTTAAACACAAATTATATTTATAGAGAAGAAAAAATAATCTGAGAGGGAATTAACTCCTAACACATAACTATATTTACAAACCAGAAAAGAGATAGAAGGGGGAATATTTTGAATAATGTCTTCCTTATCACGAAGTAGCGCACCATGAAACGTTTACACGCGGCCATAAAATTAAAGCGCCCTCAATCAACCGTTCAAAGTTGAGAATGGTCCGTTACCTTCCCTTGGTTTAACCATGGAGGAACAAACGAGCTCAATAGGTCTTTCAAGCTTTGTTCGTTGGATATTATATTGCTTATACCTTCTATGAATGTGAAAATCACTTTAATCAAAATCACCACTACGAGAGTTGCTCTCATATTTTTAATAACTTACATAAAGTGATGGGAAGTACGGTATATGAAAGAAAAAATGAAATTAACAGAGCAAGTCTCTATAGTGATAATGATGAACATCACTTGCATAATTAATCATACGACTGCGATAGTTGCTTTGTCATTTTCATTTCTCCTTTCATATAGACCTACTTGGTATCATTTTAAGTTTTTGATGACCTTAGCAGGTTTGTATATATTTTCAGTATCTACACGAGTGTCTGAAAATGACTTCCGATAAGGAAGTGCCAGTTTCGCGTGTTTTTAGCGTTACATGATATGTCTGATGATGATTGAAATCGACCTTTTCTCTAAGCCCACCCCTTAGTAGACCTTTTCGGAATGTCAATTAAACTTAACAACTGACTAATCAGAAATACACGCGC